TAATTGTTTAATTAGATTACATGACAAATTTAGTTTAGTTTGTCAAATAAGACCACTTGGTCGATGGTCTAAAAACTGTTCTTGTCCGTTCTGAATAGGAAAAATTGAACAGTTACGCAAGCCAGCCAATAAGTTTCGGTTCGGTAAGATCGAAAACTGATTTTTCAAACTTTTCAACACGTGACGTGATAATAAACTGGGTGTAATGTAACTATATAAGTTTCGAACAATTATCGATAAAACTGATTTATACAAACATCGCAATATGCTATTACTCCGCGCAAATTGCGTTATTGGGATCCAAATGAGCCGAGGCCTTGCAGATGAACGAAAGACAGACCTTATTATCAGAAAGTTGCTAGCTTTTTTTTGTGATTGGCCATGGACAAATTGAATGATGCGAGATGCAATAGATAAAAGATTCATCCTAGTAACGACATGTTTGGCAATGTCCTGTAATCTCATATATCATTGAGAGGTTAACCAGCAGTCGAGTATCAAATAGTGTATTGCGATCAATGGAAGAGAAAGTCCATTATGCTTTAATTTGTGCTAAGTCCATCACATTGCTAACTTCTAAAGCCCACGATTGCATAACATTGTCAAGTTAACCTATTGTAACCAGTGAAAAAAAGGAAAAAAAAAAAACTTATATGTCTGTTTTAGGAGGACTTATATGTCTAGTAGCAACATCTTCAATCCCTAACTAATTTGTGTTATACATTACAGCGATGGTTGTTGAAATTTGAAAGAATTGAAGATGTTGTCCAAACTTCCTAGGGATTTGGCTGAGGATGTACTCTCTAGGCTTCCGGTAACATCTCTGAGAGGAGCTTGATCAACATGCAAAAAGTGGAACACTTTATCCAAAAATCGGAGAGGAGCTTGATCAACATGCAAAAAGTGGAACACTTTATCCAAAAATCGGAGCTTTACAATGAAGCACATCGGTGAAGTAAAAGCAGCAGCAGCGAAGGAGTTTGTGGTGGTCATGGTGATGGATTTTAAGGCTTATTTGATGAGCTTCAATCTCCATGGAATCCACAATAACGTCGACCCATCAGTGAACCATCAAGGTAAGCTTATTAGCCTAGACGATGCAAATCAAGTCGATATATCTAACGTCTATCACTGTGGTGGTTTATTGTTATGCATCGCGAAAGATTTTAAGAGGTTTGTTGTTTGGAATCCGTATTGGGGCCAAACCTTGTGGCTCAAGCCCAGAAGTCCTCACGATAGATTGGATTGGTATAGGTTTGCTATTGGATACCAGAATAGCAAATCATGCCGCATCTACAAAATTTTGAGATTTGTTGATGCTCCCGCTGAAAGATTTGTTGAGTACGAAATCTACGACTTAAACTCTAGTTCATGGAGGGTTCTTGATATCACTTCGGATTGGAAGGTAGAGTTTTATGCACGTGGTGTGTCTCTCAAGGGGAATACTTATTGGTTTGCTCAAGAAAAGTATCCAGGAGCTGTACCGGGAGAGATTGCTGATTTCTTGATCTGTTTTGATTTTACAAGCGAGAGATTTGGACCGCGTCTATTAGTCTCCCGTTTGACTCTTATGTCGAAGATACTGTGACTCTTTCTAGTGTTAGAGATGAGCAACTTGCTGTGTTATTTCAGCGTTGGGACAATTCACAGTTGGAGATTTGGGTTACGACTAAGATTGAGTCTGAAATGGTGTCATGGAACAAGTTGTTCTTAGCAGTGGACTTAGATCCAATCATGGATTTTCTATTTGCACCTACCCAAGAGAGTTTCTTCATTGACGAAGAGAAGAGAGTCGCTTTGGTTTTTGATAAAGACGACAATATGCTCCCCATTGTCAACATAGGTTATGTTATTGGAGAGGATGGGTATTTCAAACAAGTGGATCTCGGGGAAACTACAGAAAAACATCATTCTCCACTTGTGTGCTCCTATGTTCCAAGCTTAACACAAATCAAGCAACGAGGCAAAAGGAAGAAAAAGAATCATATTATACCCAAAAAAGGATGTTACCAAGATGAAGCGATAAACTTTTGGAGATGTTACCCAAAAAAGGATGTCAAATTTCCACAATTTCAGGCTTTTCTATAGCTTACTGTTACTTTTCTCTATAGAAAAAATATTGTAAACAATCACAAAACACTTTGTTCTTACGTTGAGCTTCTTGAACCTGTGTTTTGGAGCTTCACTTCCCTTACCCTGAGATAATCGAACATTGAAAATCATACAATTTTAAAAACTTGATCTGAAAAAACATGGAAGTTGTAACGCGCGAAACATTTACATGGAACGGACAGTAATGGTCGTGTAGACTGGGAAAAGATTAATGGGTTTAGTTTGGTTAGATCTTAGTTGACTTTTTATTGACCCGGTTTGGTACATTTTTTTTTTTTTTATAAAGAGATAAAAGGATGGTGGGAAATTGTGGTGAGACAGACGCGAAAGCTTCGAGGTCAAGGTGGTGGTTGTTGACTTGTAGACCGACGACCAAATATATATATTCACAAAGAACACGATCACTTCCTTTCATGGTCAAATTATACTCGCTTTACATCTTGACCTACTAATAAAATGTTAAAACTTTATTAGATTCCCACACACTATCATATGCTCCTATTTGATAATCTTAATATTATTAATAAAAGCCGTCTATTTTGGTTTTTATCTCACACAAATTCACCTCGCATGTCAAAATTCTCTTTGAGCTTTTTCATCGTTTAGTACCATGCCAAAATTACAAGAACGATATAAACAAAAATGAATTTGTATATATGTTGTTATTTCAAAAGCTTTTTTAATCACTTTTCTTATTCGGCCATTCATAGTTTTTGTTGTCGACCAATTAATTTGATCAAATGGGTAATTAATTAATGGGTTTTTAATAAAAAATCTTCTTAACTATCATCGGATCATGAAAAATCCCCTCAACTATTTTTTTTAGTAAAAAAAAAAATTCTTCAACTATACTTTGTTAATGAAATCAACCCTCCGTCTACAATAACGTTTAATCCTAATAAAAATTGTTGTCTTTTGTTATAAAAACGACAAATATTGACCAAAACTTAAAATTGTTTACAAGAAAACAACACAAAGTGAATCTTATGACAAAAAAAAAACATGATCGTAGGTGTACTGTAAATCGTG